AGTTGATCTAACGGGCATGAAAAGCGCGGTTTGGTCGGTTGTTCCAAGTGCCAGATTTTGAATCCCGGAGACTCGCATTGACATATTACATCAGATTTAATATGCAGAACTCATAAGAATAACATTTAATCCGTTTCTGAGTTGGTGTGTGAATCTGAAAAGTAGAAGTATTTTTTTTTCTCATCCCATCAATTACACAGCATTGAACATGACTTAATCAAAATAACATGCAACTCTGAGAGAACTCTTTGTGTACTTCGCCTCTTTGTGTACTCTTTTATACTTCTTGTAATCTATACTTGTAATCTCTTGTTTACTTCGTATAATATTTCTTGCTTGAGTAAATTGAAAATCCTAATAAGGGTGGACGGTGAGTGGCTATATAGCGTGCCCTTAATTTATCCTTTCTAATTTCTGCTTGCTGATGAATATCTGAAATATTGATATATTTGCCATGAAATAATTATTTGTCAGTTAGCTTGTTTTGATGGAACGGTTACTTTTGGGAGCTTTTTTGTCTAAATTAGCGTAAAATAAACTATTGACTTGTGTATGGGTTGGAACAGACATAGCGCCAATTAGCGTTCTGACTCCTTTTCATTGAGTTTAGTATCTCAGCTTACAAGATTGTACATCTGAAAATATTGTATATTTTTCCTCGGTAAATTTTTTTGAGAAGTCATTATGCAGAAACCAATGCTGATGAATAGTCAACGCCAGTAAATCGCAGTTTTGCCTCAATAAGCCCAATAGACTCCAAAAATGCAATAATATCAAGGCGGCCTGGCCTCAATTGGTCAGATTGTAATTGGACCAGTTGATCTAACGGGCATGAAAAGCGCGGTTTGGTCGGTTGTTCCAAGTGCCAGATTTTGAATCCCGGAGACTCGCATTGACATATTACATCAGATTTAATATGCAGAACTCATAAGAATAACATTTAATCCGTTTCTGAGTTGGTGTGTGAATCTGAAAAGTAGAAGTATTTTTTTTTCTCATCCCATCAATTACACAGCATTGAACATGACTTAATCAAAATAACATGCAACTCTGAGAGAACGGCTGACGTTCTCATATGGGATGCTAGGTGCTGCTCTGATTTCAGAGACATCGGTGACAAGCAAAAACAACTGTTAATGTTGGAGAAGACACCAAGAAAATCACAAAAAGTAATATTAATAATGTATTAAATAATTATCAAAAATATTTTAAAAAAGATTGAAAAAAATATTGTTTGATAACAAAAAAATTTTGACCAGAGTTGCATATCGCATTTTTATTGCAGAAATACAAATAATAGACGGTTAGTTACTTAACTGAAGGCCGCAATAATGCCCAGTTTTACAAACTGAAACTAGCTTTTCGTAGCCCTCCTGAGTCGGCTCTTAAGTAAAATGTGAACTTGGTGCACTGGGCGGTAACTGCCTCTACTAACTTTACCTCGTTCTTAAAGTCTCTCTGACAACAATAGTATTGGATGGGTGCTAGTTGGACGTTGGGCACCCAACTGAGCTCAATCAATATTAACCAGTAAACAAGGCTCAGCAAGGTCTTCAAATCATCAGAAACGATATCAAAACCCAAATAAAAATAGAAAACTGGAAAATAGAAAACTAGGAATATCAGGCCTGTATAATACTCAGAGAAATGAAAAAGAAAACAAGTCACTTAATAGCAAAAAATGCAAAGTTTTTCATTACTTAAAATATAAAATCACGAAGATAATGGGTAATTGTCTGAATATCTGGTTGGAATAAAATGTCAAGCTCACCTGAAAGGAAACAGTTGTGGTGAAGTAAACTAACATTTTTTGAGTCTATGACTTATTGCAGCTCTCTGTGTTTAACTTTTTCAGTTGGGTAATCTATTCTGTAATTTAAAGCATCAAACTGAAAAAGGTAATTCAAAGTTTTTTCTAATTGTGGTTCAGCAGGGGATAGCATAATCTTTTGTAGGAACTCGTACACAAAAAGCTCATGCTTAATCAAGAACTTTTTCAGTAAAAAAATACGGTTGTAAGCTGTTGTTTTTTCGTTTAAAAATAAATTTTAAGCGCTAAGTTTTTTATCGTTAAGAGAAAACTAAAGTAAGCATAACTAGTGGAGCCATACACAATGGTTCCGTTTTTTAAACTTGATATAATGTTTAACCTGTAGTAATGAAATAAAAATCGTTTTCAAATCTAGTGACGATTCTCGAAATGGTCTCACACTGTTTTCGTAGTTTATTCTTAGTAAAATCTACATGAACTTGAAATGATAATTTAACGTCTACGGAATTCAAGTACAAACAATAAAAAGTATAGCCGGTTGCTGCATAAGGAGCACAGAATGTTCCGATCATAATCATAAAAAATTACACACATTTAAATTATTTTAAATTGAAGTTGTTGTTTGTGCGCAGTGTGATTCGATATCATTCTTTCAAATGCAGAAAAAACGGGAAAAAAATCAAAAAAGATTTTCACGTTTTTTTTTACTCCCTAGTTAGCGCTAAATTTTTGCCTAGGAAGCGATAACTTGTTTTTGTTTTAGGGAAAATCAAGATTTGTTAGCCTAAAGTTTTCAGATAACGAACGTTTCTTGATCGTTTTTACTTGCTCGAAATTTTAAACCGGTTTTTCTCGAAGTTGAGAAAAATTTTAAATGTCGTTTGAATCACGGCTGAAAAGGCTTTAATATGAAATATCACACGACCCATTCCAATAATTATTTGCGGTTCCTAATTTTCCGTGGAAAACAAAAAACTAGAAGTCTGGAATCCAAAGCTTCTCAGCATTTTCAATGGTCAAAAACGTTCTAGAGCTGTCTAAGATTCGATAGTATTCTCATGGTAAAGGCGATTTTTTGGCAGTGGCTCAATGTGTCATGATATTGAACCTGCGATGAGGAATGTTTAATCATGTGGAACCGTCTTTCAAACTTGGGTAATAAACGTCTTAAACATATTTGGGATTCTCACTAGAGGTAAGTTAAGTTTCTTAGAGAGGGTTGGTAATATTGAATCTGCTCTGCCATTAGATTCAATTTGATTTTTGTAGATTATTCAAATTGATGTTAGCGGAATGTTCTTCTTGCGATAAGCAAAGGGTATATTGCAATCGTGTACAAGACTTTGTTCCCGTAAATACCTTGGTTCACAGGGTGACTGAAATTTTGGTCATATATATTTCATCAACTAACGGAAAGAAGAACAGATATATTTTACGCATATCTCTTTTGTAAATGCCAGTTCTATTCGAATTTTTTTATTGCTGGTTGCAAGTTTACCAACTCCGAATTTAGTATATCAGTTTTTGTTTTTCGTTTTTTCCTCCTTATTCGGCTTAAAAGGTTTCGACTTATAATATATCGGCTTAGAGGTCTTTTTTTTGAGAAGTTTGAGGAGCAAAAATTTAAGTGTTTTGAGGTGGCTTGAAAAACGTTTTGAGTTTTTAAGTTAAAAATATTTTTGGCGCTATATATCTCAAGATTTGTCAGCTTTGTTACTTCTTCATTCAAAAACAAATTTAGGACCATTTTTACTTTATTTTATGGCTAATATTTATTTTTTCGGTTGATTTGTCATATTACGTATGGGTTTTTTTGTATGTTGTGCGATACTTTGCTTCGCCTCTCGCTTTAAAATTTGCGAAGGTGCAGTTATTTCAGCTCCAAGTTTTGGATATTTTTGCAAATTTTTTGATAAAGTTTTTTACTTTGATTTGTCGGATTATCTGCAGGTTGTGATAGTCATTCATTTTCCTATCACTAGTGGTGCGAAGCTCTGCTTCACCTCTGCGTTGAAGTCTGTCCTTTTTCTTACAGGTATGATTTCAGCAGTTTCTTACAGTAGAATCATCTTATAGCTTTCGAAATTTTTGTAATCATATTATAGCTTTCGGAGTTATTGTTCCAACCATTTTAAAAATATGGACAAACTTTGTATCAGGGGTGAGTTTTAGTTTGTTTTTCGTTTTTCACGCAAAATCAGTTCTAATTTCTAGCTGATAAGGTGAGGCTAAGCGGGCTTAAAAAGTCTATTTAGGCTTAATTTAAGCCGTGAAATTAGTTTTTGGTTTTAGCGCCAATTTGGGAATCAAGAACTTCAAAATTCAAAAAGTTTCTGCATTTGTTGAATTTACCACTTTTTCGTTTTTCTAATCTATTTTCTACTAAAACTATTTTACTACGCATGTTGAATATGCCTAAGCTTATTTTTTCGTTCAGGTTTTTTAATCGCACCACGCAGAAATAACGACCTTGCACAGTATCTGGCTATCCTTGAATAAGTCTCCCTTTGGGTATCGTCTTATTTGCAACGGAGTTTTGTGAGAAATAAGCACGCTCCATGTAGTTGGTGTTATTATGCGATTTTTTATGTAGAAATACAATGAAACCAATTTATAACAAGGATAGCCGGTTTTCGTGCGAGTAGCACAGAACTTTCCGACCCTAGTCTTGAAAAAAATATATAAAAAAATTGTGTTTTTTTTTTCAAGTTAGTGTCGTTTTTTCTGCGTGTTGTGATAAAAAATCTTAACGAAAAAAAATTAAAACTTAGGCGTATTCGACTTTCATAGTGAAATAGGCCAATTGGATAACAGGAAAACAGTTTTTTTTAGAAAAATGACAAGAAAAACGGGAAAAAAAAAGTTGTTTAAAAAATTAAAAATTCCAATTTTTTTTGCAAGTTTTTGAGTTTTGCAGTTTTTTTATTCCCAAATTGGCTAATTCCCAAATTCCCTAAATTAAAATCAAATTTACTTGAGTAAAACCAAACTATCACGGCTTATATTAAGCTTTTGTAAGTCTGCTTTGCCTCACCTTACCAGCTTGAAATAAGATCAAAAATTTCAAACTGGTATTCCTCGACACAGAAATTTTTTCGAAGTTTTTTAATATCGTTCGAATCACGACTAAAAAAGGCTTTAATATGATAGTTCACTCGACCCATTCCGATAATTATTTGTGCTACCTGATTTTGCGTGGAAAACAAAAAAGAAAAAAACTAACATACACCAGAATACAAAGCTCTTCCACGTTTTTCGAATCATTGGAACAACAAGCATAGTTTTCTAGTGAATTTTGATCATGGATTCTTCTGCTGATTTTGAAAATGTGTGCGAGAACCCGAACATCTTTTCTGAAATACCTGAAAATGTAAATCAAATGGACGCGACAGAATCCACAAACAATTCAATATCCGGCGGACGAACCAGGAAGAAACCAGTCCAAATTGTTGCTTCCAGTGGAAACAGTAGCGCTTCAAGTTCAACCAGGTCAAGTCCTGTGGCGGGAAAGGGTGACAAGTTACCTGGTGCTGTGAATAACGTGGAGGACAATTTAGAGAACTTCTCTCTTTCGTTTCGTGAAAATATACCCAAAGTTTCCAGGTGAGCTATATATATTTAAAATAGTCTAAGTTTTGAGTTACTAATAATCTCTGCTTCTGCAAGTTTTACTGAATATTTAATTGGGTTTTATCAAAACTTGATTTATTTTAAGAGCACGACCTATGCGGAAGGGAGACCTGGTTGCGAACTATGATTGCCAAATCCAAGAACCCCACAAAATGCCACTATTTGCTGTCGACATTGCGCCATACGTACTGCCGCCAATCAGCGGCGAGGAGGTTGCAATGGGAACCCAAGAGGAACGGGAAGCACTGAAGGAAAATTTGGCAAGGGAGACAAAGAGAATTAGAGCTCTGAAGAGTCTGTGTGCCTCGAAGAAGCATTTGAATCAGTGGGATATGTACCCGTCTGATTACCAACAGGTGTTGACTGATGAAGCGAAGAAGCGGTTGGATAAGGGCAAGAAACAGAGGGAGGTATTAGGGCAGTACCCACAGTATCTGGTGGCAACGTCAGGAGGGAAGAACGTGTGCATTTATGTCACGACTGAAGCTCCGGGAAGTGAGTTTGCACATAACTCTGTGTTTGTAGTAACTTTTGGGACTGAATGCCTTGATTGAAGTGTTCATTGAATAACCTGAAGAAATTAAGTTTATGACAAACGAATAGTGCTCAATCTTTTAAGTTTAAGTTACTGATGAAGTTTCTATACGTTTTTTGTAGGCAAACTACTATTGAGAAACGTTTTCGAAGACGTTGATGGCGACGAATTTTATAGTATCAAGTTTACTCGGATTCGAAGCAAAAGAAAAGACGGTTCTGAACATGATTACAAAGTACTGGTCTGCGCGGGACTCCATGGAACCTTACGAGTTCTCAATGTCCGTCAAGGGAAATCATTGTATGCTATTGAATCTGCAGCGGGACAAGGCATCAACGAGATTGCAGTTCATCCCAAGTTACCCGAAATTGTGGCTTGTGTGTCTAAAGATTTGACCGTCCGTGTTTGGAATATTTTCAGCTCCGTTCAAGTGTTGTTATTGACATCAGCCGCTCTATACGGTCACGTGAGTGAAATACTAACACTTGATTGGTCACCTGACAAGGGAAATAAATTAGTGACAAGTGGTATGGACAACAGTCTGGTATTGTGGGATATTTCGGACCAAAAGTACAAGGATGCTTTGGAGTATTCGTATGTGTACAAAGAAGAAGCAAGTGCCAGCATGAAACGAAGGTAGGTTTGTACGCGGGAGACTAGCAATAGTTATTTATTATTTTTAGACAGTGATCAGTCTTAATTTTTTCAGGTAAGTTGGATGAAGTACAAAGTAAATAGAAAAATAGAATGAAGTACAAAGTAAAGAGAATATGAATGAGAGAACAATTAGCTTAAGTTTTGTTAAAAACACTTGGAACTCGCTATGTTTGTTGTTGCCTTTTTCTAACTTCTATTTTTAACAGCTAATTTTTCGCGCAATAATTTTGTACATATGAAGTGTTAATGAAGTAATTTATCACTTATTTAGTACTGAAGTTTTTTTGGGTTAAAGTTTTGAAGTTTGTCCACGCTCAAGTGTAATTCTTCGCGGTTTGAGTTTTGATTTCTTCTTTAGATCAATTCCATTTTATTTGTTTTATGGAAGGAAAATTGTGCTCCTAAAGGCACATAATTAAATTACCTAATGCTCCAGTTTTATCAAATTTGACAAAAAGTTATCAATAATATAAGATAATTGAAGTTTCAAAAGTTCGAAAATCAAAAATTGAAAACTGTTCAAAAAATACAATCATTTTTTCGAGCTCCTGGAATTTCTTGACACTTGCCTGTTTGCTAGGTTTTTAGAATGTTTAGAATTAACATGTTACATTTGAGGCAGAAATAAAATACTCGATTTTTTTGAGAATACGAACCGGACACCGGCCTTGAGATGCTCAACAATGTCCAGTTTTGAACCAATTCTATGACCTGACAAATGAGCTTGAGAGCATTGTTATGTTAGGAATCCAATTTTTTTCTAATCCAACTCGTTAATAAAAGTGCTAGTTTTGGTTAGTGATAGTATTGGCAGTTTAGTAGCTTGTGTTCTCCGCTTTATCAGTGGCTGGTCTTTTAATTTTTTGGTTCTCTAAGCGTCAGTGGTACAGTTGTGTTGGTTAGTTTGGTTGGATGATCAATCCATGTGGTTCGATTCTCTTGGAGGGAATTTAGTTTCCATTTTCCTTTAATATTTTGCCAAGAAATGTTATTGTTTGCTTTTCTTCTTTTTTAAAACCCTTTTGAAGCTACTGCTTGTCGCTTTTGTTTGCGAAGTACAGCTTTGCTTATGTTTCGGTATCGCGGTTTGTCTCCAAGTTTACTGGAGTAGTTAAATCAAATCGAATGTTGTGATTAAAAAAATGGCGAAAAACGGGTCAATTTCTTAATCTTAGACTAGCCATGTTTGACGGAAGTTTTCTTTTTCATCTGAAAATTAGTGATGACTTGATTTCAAAATTGAAAAGTTTTTTCAACTGCGATCGTTTTTTATACAGTTTTTGGGGTTTAGAAATTGCCAACTGGGGATAATTTACACGCCATAAGCTTCGTCCTATTTAATCATAAGCTGCGAATAAATCATTTCGAATGATAATGACACAAGCAATCTGGAATCTTTTCCAGTTTCCCATCCCCTTGTAAAATTAAAATATAAAGCTGTTCAAAAATAGTGCATACGCCATTTCGCATGTAAGAATTGATTTAAAAATTTGTTCACACTGAAACGTTTCAATGCTGTTTATAACATGAATTCTTTTTAACTAGACTTTCATATAATGAATTTCACAAAAAAAATAAAGATCGGGAAACTGGAAAAGAGCCGTAATCCGGAAAAAACAGTTAAGAGTTATTAAAAAGAGTAAAATTGAATTTTGAAAAATTTATCGAACCATTCTCTGGTCTTTCTTAAAAGCGTAAAAGCATCTTATTCAAAAATATGAACCAAGTTAACATCCTCCTTCCTAACCACCACCATCCAAACCTTTGCGGATGATGATGTTAACTTGGTTCTACGTAGGGGATCTTCTGCCAATCAGAATCAAGCATTTTACATGTAGCGCTTCGGAAATTTAATAGGAATTAAATGCTGGGGTGGAAGACCTTAACTTGGTCTATCTGAAGGGAGTTATGTTAACTTGATCCAAAAGTGTTGTAGATACGACAACCACCGCAAACCTCAGCTGCCTCTCCAAGTCTGTTTTCCTCAACTTGTGAACAAATCTATCCACAAAAACTACGTCGACTCTGTCAAATTTCTAACAAAAGACATCATAATATCAAAGAGCTCTGAGAACTACATCGCAGCTTGGACCGATCAGACAACGAGAACCGAAGACAATACAGTGAAGAGCTTGTGTAGCATACTGTTCCAGTACGAGTTGACGGCTTCGAAGATCTGGTTCATGAAGTTAGCCCTCCAGCCAAAAACCAGGCGTTTGCTGGCTCTGGGTTTGCAAGACGGCCGCATAATGGTGATGGACTTGAAAAGTGACCCCGACCCCCAGAAGTTTAGGATTAATTTCTTGAGGGCGACCGGAAATGTTGCAATATCAGCCATTAGACACGTAGCTTTTTCACCAGATTCCAGAGTGCTAATTGGAGTGACTCAGGATGCAAAGGTGATTTATTTATCGGATCTTGTTATCAATCCCCCCTATTGCACTGAAGGGGGGCGGAGATTCGTAACAAGGTACTCAATTCGTATATGCTTAACTGATCAATTTCTCTTTATAGGGGGGGAGAGATTCGTTACAAGGTACCATAGGGGGGGGGGGGGGAATAGTTAACAAGATCCTTCAACTTTTTACTAATGCAAGAATCAAATTTTGAGCATTTTTGCATTATAAATGACCGTCAATTCAGAATTTGTTTTTTTTTTCAATTTTAATGCATTTTTTCCGGATAATTTAAATTAGCATTGTACTAAGTGAAAACGTTTTTTGGCTCAATAGGTGTCTGCTTAAGTTTTTCAGCTTGGTTGCAGCTTAGTAAGTTTCATTTCGATGCTTATCTAACTTGCAATGATCTTATCTGGCATGTTTTCCTCTTGATGAACTTACGCAAGACAAATCGAGACAAATGTATGGAATTTTGGTTGATTTAGATTTTTCTTTTTTTTTTCAAATTTTTTTCTAGCTTGCCATGCTGTTTTTGTGTTGTATCGCAGGTGGTGCAAAGCCTCTGCTTTGACTCTGCGTAGCAGATCTTTCGATATATGGTTTTTAGGTGGTGAAGTTCTCTCTCAACGGCGCTGCTATTATTGACAAACGCATCAAATTTGGCATATATCCCATAATCGCACTGAACGAAGAAGCATTCGAAGATTTCCTTTCCTCGGGAACAGAAAAGAGCAACACCGCCTCATCATCTGATTTCGAAAAGACTAAATCTGAACCAGTTGCAATGTCCGAAAATGCGAATCTGGCTGAACAAAATGACAAGTATGAACTAGTACCGATTGAAGCAATTTTGGGCGACGAAAGCGAATTATGTTCGACTGATGAAAACGTTTCTATGGAGGTCGATATTCCAACAGCTGTCATATGATTTATGGATATTTCAAGTTTTTGGATATGGAAGGACTATAACATTTATCGTGGTCCGAAAATAGTGTATTGATTTTATTTGGTAATTTCGACCAATTTGCACTTTGTTTTTGAATGAAGCATATTTTTGTTTTCTGGCAATTTTTTTTGAGTTATAAAATTGGATGTTATAGCTTTAATTCTAACTTAGTAAATGCAACGACAAGACTTCTAAGGTGAGACTTCATGGGGTAATTTAATTTTTATGTGCCTAACTATACTGACATAGTTGTTTTTACACTTGCGAAGCGAAGTGTATTAGTAGGAGTTTTATGTTTTTCCAACCTAAGTCGCAAATAAGTGCTACTTTCGGTGGCGCTTTTGACTCGGTAGCCTGCGGTAGTCGTATAATATCATATTTGCTTTAACTTTTGTTTAGTAAAAAGTTAACACAGCTGATGCATTTTTAGTTCATCAAATGAACCGAAAAAAATATATATTTGTTTCAAACATCAGTACAATGATAAAAAGCTCGATTTCAGAATTTTTTCAACTCGCAATGTATCTGGAATTTTTTTGAAATGCATAATCTATCTTTCTGTCTGCTATTTAATGGGAGTTCATGTGACACATGCTTAAAAAGTTGACATGTTTAAGAGAACTCTTGCATGTTTAAACTTTTTCAACGTATTATTTTTTGCATGTTTAACGAAAGTGTTTTTGCACGTTTTAGCTATATCGTATATTAAAACGCTTAAGAAACTTCATTTGGCACATGTTTAAGAAGTTTCTATGCTGGTCGGTTAGAAGGCCAAAACATTGCAAGGGTTGTAAAGTTAACTCAAGTCAGCGTTTCAAAATCTGTTGGAGCTCGAATGCTTTAACTCTTGAATTTTTTCCTATTTGCAACGTAAAACTATCAAAATTTTTGTTTCAAAATTTGCTTGATTAGTTTTGAAGTTGTCAATCTAGAGTGCAAATCTAGCGTCCAAGTTTGACGGCTCAAATATTTTTGGTTTTCGAGATATGGCGTTTCTTATGATTTTTTTTTTTTAAATTTAGATATTAAAAAAATTAACCCAATTTGGAATTTTCAATCCTATAGAGGGGTACGGCCAGGTTATAAATTGAGGGGTTGCAACTCTGACTGCCAATTATGACTGCTCAAATCTTTCTGGTAATCGAGACAAGCGTTTTTTTATGATTTTTTTTTTGTTAAAAAAACTTAGATATAAAAAACTACCCAAACGTGACATCCGGGCAGCTGTCAGCGTACACTCCGGGGTTGCAAGTCTGCCATCCAAATATGACGGCTCAATTTTTTTGCTTTTCGAGGTTTGGGGTTATTGGTTTTCGAGATGTGGCGTTTTTTATGATTTTTTAAATTTTTTTAAACTTAGATATAAAAAAACTAAATAATCTTGAAATTATCAACCCTGTTTGGGGAGGCTGTCAGGGTACACTCAGGTTTTAGCTATATCGTATTTTGAAACTTCATTTGGCACATGTTTAAGAAGTTTCTATGTTGGTCTGTTAGAAGGCCAAAACATTGCAAGGGTTGAAAAGTTAACTCAAGTCAGCGTTTCAAAATCTGTTGGAGCTCGAATGCTCTAACTCTTAAATTTTTCCCTCTATTCGCAACGTAAAACTATCAAAATTTTTGCTTCAAAGTTTACTTGATTATTTTTGAAATTCTCAATCCTATAGTGGGGATCTCAGGGTACACTCAGGGGTTGCAAATCTAGCGTCCAAGTATGACGGCTCAAATCCTTTTGGTTTTCGATATGGCGTTTTTTATTATTTATTTTTTTTTCAAAAAACTTAGATATAAAGAAATTAAACCAATTTGGAGTTTTCAATTCTATAGTGGTTCACGACCAGGGTATAAATTGAGAAGTTGCAATTCTGACTGTCAATGGTGACTGCTCAAATCTTTTTAGTAATCGAGTTAAGGCGTTTTTTTAATGATTTTTTTCATTTTTTTAAACTTGGATATAAAAAACTACCCAAACGTAAAATCCGGGCAGCTGTCAGGGTACATGCCGGGGTTGCAAGTCTGGCGTCCAAGTATGATGGCTCAAATTATTTTGCTTTTCGAGATATGGCGTTATTGGTTTTCGAGATGTGGCGTTTTTTATGTATTTTTTCATTTTTTAAAAAACTTAGATGTAAAAAAAACTTAATATCCTTGAAATTATCAACCCTGTTTTGGGGAGGCTGTCAGGGTAGACTCAGGAATTGCAAATTTTGCGTCCAGGTATGACTATATACATCCTTATGATTTTCGAGAAGTGGCGTTTATAAAAAAAAATTTTCATTTTTTTTCAAATACCTTAGATATAAAAAAACTAACCGAACTGGATTTTCTCAACGCTGTAGTGGGGTGCTATCAGGGTACAATCAAGGGTAGTAAATCTGGCCTGCAAGTATGACTACTCAAATCTTTTTGGTTTTCGAGTATGGCGTTTATGATTTTTTAAATTTATTGTTTTTCAAACAAGTTTGATATAAAAAAATTAATGGAACTTGAAATTCTTAACCCTATGTTGGAGTGCAGTCAAGGTACACTCAGAGGTTGCAGTTATTCCCTCCAAATGTGAGTGCTCAAGTCTTTTTGCTTTCCGAGATGTGGCGTTACCCATTCGGCGTTGCAAATCAGCCCTCCAAATTTGACTGCTCAAATCTTTTTCCGAGATGTGGGTTTTTTTATGAAGTAGAAACGCCTGATACATGAGCCCAGTTCATCTTAACGGTTGCAATAAGTTTTTTACCACATGTTTTAGGAAGCTAACTTATTGTGCAACGATCTTTTTAAAGCACTGTACGTGCGAGTCATGCGCTAGCTTATACATAATTTGGCTTTATGCTTTCCAATTTATTATATACAAAATGTGTTATTTTGTATTTGATGCTACTTTTGCTGCATCGAGCTGACAATTTAATAGCATATGTAGCTGGGTTATTGGTGGCTAGTTTTCGGGGATTGTAAGCAGCCGTGGCTGCGTGGTAAGTGCGTGAGACTCATATTTGGTAGACCGCAGGTTCGAATCCGACACGTGGCCGAGTTTTTGCTCATTTCACTTGATAGAGCTGCTTTTTGATCGTTTTCTTGTAAGTGTTTGCGAAGCGCAACTTCGCATCTGTGTTTCTAGATAAGTTGGCTTCATGCTTTCCAATTTGTTTAATGCAAAAATTGTGTCTTTTTCATTTGGTGCTACTTCTGCTGCATCGAATTGACAATTTATGAGGATATGTAGCTGCCTTATTAGTGGCTAGTTTTTGGGGATTTTAAGCATCCGTGGCTAAGTGGTTAGTGCGTGAGACTCAAATTTGCTAGGTCGCAGATTCGAATCCGACACGTAGCCGAGTTTTTGCTAATTTAAGGCTAAATTCTATTTTTTCTTTTTTCACTTGATAGAGCTGCTTTTTGGTCATGTTCCCGCAATTGTTTGCGAAGCACAGCTTCGCCTCTGCGTGAAAAGAATGGTATTTTTCTCAACAAAGTTTTACACAGCTTCAGGATCATTGTAGCATTTAAAGAACTAACCATTATTCAATTTCAGGTCATTTGTTTTTGTTAAAATGGATAAAAAGTACAATGGAAGTCATGGCCTGCCAACGGACTCTGAAATTTCAAGTCTCACAACTAATGATGAAATTTGTGCATTGCTGGTATTCCTGAAAGACATGCTGTTCAAAAACAGCGGAAACCCTGAAGTATTTGCGGATACAGTTAGTAAATTTTCAATATTGTGTTCGGGTGAAAAAAATATGATAGTAGAAAACGAACTCCATGAAAGCATAAGCGAAGGTGGAATCATTGAGCAGGTTTTGCGGTTCTTGCGAGAGAATTCACTGCCCGAACTATCAGCCAACTGTTTCAATTTCATATCTTTGATTCTATTCCGATTTCCTAAATTGTTTGCCGAAGATTCCGTGTATGCCGAGGGACTTTACGAAGTTCTGTCGATCATTATGTTAGAAAAAGATTACATCAAGACAGTGCCAAAAGAGTTGAACAAGTTTACCTTATATATGAAACGCTTGATTGAAAGACTCTTTCATATAAATCCAATAAAAACCATCAATGTTTTCCACAGTATATATCAGCGATTATGTAAATCAGGTGATAGAGAGATGCAACGATGTTTTCTGGAACAGGTGTTCAGAAGCATGCCAGTCTTTTACCTTGTTTGTGAAAAATCGAAGGGGCCTTGTGATGAAAAACTAGTTGTTCCTAAATTGTCCGGAGAGTTCGATTCTAATTATGGGCCAAAACTAGTCGAACAAAAAGCCGACTGTGTTTCTAGAGACAACCCTACTTGTTTAAATTACACTCACTGTAAAAATACTGCGTTTATTGGCGAGTTTTGCCTCCATTGTGCTGAAAATCCTGAGTTCAGAAGTGAAATGGAATTGAAGGCGGAGTTGTCCATGGAAAGGAGTGCAGTGTACTTTTATAAATTGCAGCTTGGAGAACGCGCAGACCGCGATAATGAAATGAAATTCAAATGTCATCGATTAGAACTTGAAGTTGAGCGTGTGAATGCTGAGTTAGAGCAAAGAAACCTCGAAAACAGTAAAATGCGTAAAACGCTGGAAGACCTAGAAACTAAAAACGGGCAATTTAATTTGAAAATGGTAGAGTTACGCGAAGAGTTGTTTTTAGCGAAAGAATCATCGGCTAGCTTTGAAAATCAGACTACAAGATTAAAAGACGAATTGAACCACGAAAAGAAAAAAGCTGCAAATCTTTCAATAGAAAACGCAAGAATTAAGGCAAAGATTTTTGAATGTTCTGAAATTCGGAACAAGCTTACGCGAAAAGTAGACTCACAAGCTCTGATCGAAAGGCAGTTGCAAACTCTGAACAAGGAGTTGTTTCTGATGAGCGAGATCCATCAGAAATACGAAGAAAAAATCAGTAAGCTGCAAATAGATCAGAGAAGTTCGAACGAAGATCAACTGACCATTAACAATTACAGACGACAATTGGCAGAGTTGCGGCAGAAAAATCGAAAGTTGGAACTGAAGCTAGGTTTGATGGAGGAGAAACAAAAAAACAAGGAGCAAGATGCTCTTGAAATTTCAGAATGCAAAGACGAAAAATTAAAACTGATGGAAGAAAAATATTCAGGCTTATTGAAAGAGACTAAAGGTTTTCAACAAGAATTGAACCGAGTGAGGAAAGAGTTAATCGAGAAAAGTGCTGATGTAGATTTGGCAAAAACTGAATTGGAACTATTAAAAACTCAGGAAACTAAAAACACTCGCGAAAAGTGTGTAGGCACTCAGTAGCATTTGTTATATCGCCATTTCTGAATAATGTATTCTCGTATATAGCTGCTCTATTTTCTGAATTCACTTTTATAACTTTGTTCGTTCCTGCATAGGGATTTAGACTTCATATTGGAAGGCTTCAATGATTGGTTTTGTATTTTTGAGGCCCATGAAAAAGCTCAAAAGGCTATTTTGTGTAGAAATTCACCTGTGGCTGATGGCTTTCATAAAACGGCACCCTTTGCAAATGATTCAAATTGTCTAAGATGGTGTGTTCAAAATATAATGACAAAATTAGAGGCTTACTGTGATTCATAAATTTGCGTGAAAAGCGCAACTGAAGCAAAAGTTGCACCTCTAGGTTAAATGTTTTTCGATACATAGGCTATGCCTTTATTATGTTTATCTGACTTGAAAACGGTGAATTTATTTTGCTTTCTCAAAATTTTCCGATAGTCGTTTCATCTTGCTGCATTTATCAGTTTTTTTCTAGGAACACTCAGATTTAACGAAGTATTTTTCTCATTGCCAAAATTCAACCAATAAGGCCAGCCTAATTGAGAATCAGAAAGAGTAATCCATTCGGGATTTTGCAACCTATAGTTTTACCGGTCAATTTTAAATCTTGGAAGTATTTTTTTTTGAGTATCTTACGTTTTTTGAGTTATTATGTTAGCTGCATGTGTTCTATTTGTTTTGAGAAACGTGTAAATCATTGATATCTGGGGTTCATCGCAAAAGTGCTAAAGTAAAGAATTCGTATTGCAGCTCCATCAGTATTAGTGTGTCCAACTGAATTCTTTTCGTCTGTTTTTCAGTTTCAGTTAAAGTTACAGTTCTGATTTTCCGGGTCTTTCCATTTCAGTTACAGTTACAGTTTTTACAGTTTTTTTCTTTCAGTTTCAGTTACAGTTTCAGTTGAAGCTTTCAGTTGGAAAAATTGAATCAAACAACATGTTGAATTTGAAAACAAAACTTACAAAGAAACAAAAACTTAACGAGTTCAATCAAAAGTCAAGTCATTCAATCAAGTCACGGTTACTCGCAATCATTGTTCTTTCACGGAGCCCAGTGTTCGACAGCACTCTAAGTCTTCCTTCCGCTTGGATGGCTGCTCCCGAAAAAAGTCTTTCAACTCCGACTCCAGCGCCGCTGAAACACGCAAACTGAGACAACTCAGGAACAGTAGATAGTCTGTCGCGCCAAAACTTGTGAAGGTATTCCGAGTGATGTTTGAGATCAATGTCAAATCCCGGTTTCATGTGTTCGTAAGTAGAGATATTCGCGCAATAGCTCTCAAACTGGGCCGAAAGCTTAACGGCTATTTCTTCGGGTTGCGATGCAGATGGAGGCGGAGTGAACAAACTCGGAAAGTTTTCTTCTTGCGACCAGTTGTTGTTGCTGCCATCTCGATCTGGAAACGTATGAATTGCGTCAAGTATTTATACTAAGCTATCTGAAACTGAAACTGCAACTGTAACTGAAACTCTAACTGAAACAAGGACCGGAGTTGGTTTCAGTTACAGTTTCAGTTACAGTTCAAAACATCCGGCTGTTTCAGTTCCAGTTACAGTTTCAGTTGATCAAAACCATTTCAGTTGTGCAGTAACAGTTTCAGTTACAGTTTTCAATTCAGTTACAGTTGGACACACTAATCAGTATAGTGGTAAAAAAAATTCTGTGCTGAAAAAGGTAGGTCAGTAGGGAGCTCGATTCCCCAGTCTGCGAGTTTTATTTTTAAGCATAATTTTGATGTTCATTGTTTGATATATTTTGAGCATTCATAAATTGTTTTCTCGCTTTCGCCTATACCTGCCTATTGCAGCTTCGCTTTCGATGACAAGTTTTGCGTCATATTGATCGGAAACGTTTTTTTGTACTGCAGAAGTTCAGCTTAGTGTTTTTCGAAGAATTCTGACATAAATGCTCTTTGAAAAGACCATCTTCAATGGTTTTAATGCGTTTTTTCGTCGGCATGGTTTCTGTAGAAATAATTGTGAGCGTCCAGTTTTTTCGATTCATGCATTGGAACCTTGCAAACAAAGCTACCGTTAGCTGAAAGGTAGAAAATAATCAATGAATTCTAAGCAACCAAAGCATTTTCTTTTTTCAACTCTAGAATTTTGCAGAAAAAAATGTGCCAAAACTATTTCAAGACTTTTGTTTCAAAATTTTTTCCATAAAGTGCTCATAATTGGGGCACTTGGGTCATGGGCAAGTTTTTCTCCGCTGGGAAATCTATAAGCTGACAAGGATGACCAGTGGTTGTGCAAGAAGCACAATAAAAAACTTTAAAAAAAATTAAGTTTTTTTTTTTCAAATTGGTGTCGTTTTTGTGCGTGGAGTGGAAAGAGGACAAAACAAATGCAAAAAAGTTAGTATGTTAGGCTTAATTGACAACAGTTCTTCAAAAAAAGGATTAACAAACAACAAATAAAAATCTTTTTCGCCTAAAAGAGAAATTTTTGAATAAAAAAATCTCTAGATTGCTTTTTAATTTCTCTAAATCAGACAAAAACTCTAAAGATTCAAACAAATTTTTCTCGACACACAATAGAAGCAAGCGGTATATGCGTTTTAAGTAAGTCTTTTTCAAATAAGTTTCGCGCATTTCTGTTTTCAGCCGATATGTTCAATCTAGTTTCTTAAACAGCATGAAGTCTGGTCGCCTAATTTAACGCTTTCAATGCAGCTTGTATTAATGGCTGCCGCAGTTGAATGCAGCAGTTTGTTATAAATGCGGCAGTTTTTAAGTTATAGCAGAAAACTGAGCTATAGAAATGTACAATTACTTCAACTTCAAAACAGAAATCAGCAATCAATAAAAGGAAGAGTTGTTCTCTTAGGTTTTTGCAGTTCCTGGGCAAAATTAAGAAACATTTAACGTTCTAAATTTTAATCGCCAAAATTGAAGCCAGAGATATAGCTGTAATCGGAGACAATTTTGTTGAAAATCCTTTTTTAGAATCAGGTTCACCTTCGTTTTCTGATGATTTAGTATCAGCTGGGGTTTCAGTTGCATCCACCGAACCAGATTGGGTGGGAGTTGTTGTGTTGGTTTCCAGTTCAGTCACGCCACTTAAAAACTTTCGTACGTCTTCGGGGATTTCATCACATACCTCAACACCATATTGTGAACTGGATTGATCAATGCGATGCGCTTCTACTGAACTCGGAACCGGAAGTGGGTCTCTCCAATAGCAAAGTTTTAAATCGTTAGGTGGTAGTTTTTTCGCCTCGCAAAGCTTTCTTACACTGTCTTTCACCATATGCAAGCCGTACTGATGCATCATGCATATTTCACAAATCTCTAAATTTTCAATTAAGTGACAATCGCCTGCTTCAAAACTGATTCCAAATTTGTGCATATTTACAGTTCCTTTGTCAGTAACAAGTTGAGTTAATTTTAGCCAAGAGTTTCCCAAAACCAACGTGCCATATTCAATTCTTTCCAAAATAACGCCAAAATAAATACTCGTAATTTTTGGAACATAGTAGAGCATGTCTTTAGTTAGGTACTTGGGCCCGTCGTATATCTCGACGTAAAATGACTCCAACTCGTCGGCGTAGCTTTTATCGAGTAAAAAAGTAGGGTAGAATTCTCTAACACCCCAAACGAACTTCTCATGTTGACGCGTGAGCAAGTAGTTAGTCGTATGATTCGCAATCTTCAGTTTTTGAACTTCGTAATACGAAGAGCTGTGGCTAAATGCAGCTCTAAACGGATCACTGAATAAAACTTCTACGTTTTTTATGCCAACCGCTTTGAAGATGTGCGCAAAATTGAAACTATCCAAATCGAGAATCGCGTCCGTTTTGATATCACCAAAGCAATCGGAGATATAGAAAGTAGTCATCGATGACAACTGAATTATTTGGGGTATTCTTTCAACTTCCTGTGGGATTAATTTTGACATATTTCGTATCTTGATGCTAATAATCTCTAGAAGTTTCCATTTTTCAGCCAATTTTGCAAAAAGCAATGTTACGTTTCTAATCTGAAGACTTTCCAGCTTTATGTCAAGACGAATCGTGTCAAGTTCCTCATTGACGTCTGGTAATTGAATTTTAAAACTCTCATGAAATTCATCTGCAACTAAATTACGGATTTTTAGAAGAGATGGAATATCCGCACCTTGGCCAACTATTTTGCACACTGTTATTTTGGAATTTTCATTACATAGGCAATGATTGTTGAATGTAGTAATTACAGTTTTGCACTGAGTATTCAATGAGAAGACAGGCATCCGTTCAGACACCAACAAGCAAAGACTCAATATTTGGATAAAAAGCTTCATTCAAATTATCGCTTCTTTGGTTTGATGGCAACTGTTCGATAAAATAGTTCACGCGCGATGTTCCTTTTGATCACATGTAATGACAGCTAGTGCGGTTTTCAAAATTTAGTGCATGCTGTTACTTTTTAGCAAAACTTTCGGCGGACAAATATACTTGAACTTTTGGCAAGACAAGGTTGTGAAAATGAAGCGCTGAGGAGAGCTGAGAAACCGGAATAACAATTTCGCCTACCGAAAAGCAGCTTTGCCCCTCGTGTAACTCTTGTCCAGCTCCACGCCATTGTTCCACCCATGGTTCAATGGGCCTTACGTCAGTCAACTTCACCCACGATTTATATCTTTTGTTTACACAAAAGGCCATATCTCATGTGACTCGCCCATTTTCAGCTTGCGATGCAGCAAATAGGATCTATCTGCGAGCATTTATTTAGATTTTTTTTCATTGAACATTTCACTGAATTGCTTATTTAAAAACACTTCAGACACGATACGGTCCACCACAAACATTCAGGGATGCGCATTCATACAAACATTTGGCTTTAATATTTCTCTTATTAAACAAATGCTGGTAATGATTTCAATTGATTTTAGTACTGAATGAGTAAAATGCTTCGAGCCTTTCCGATACATTATGGTTTTGACTTCCATAGAAAAAGAAGAACATTAAGAATTGGGTTGACGAAATAATAAAAAGCTTCTACAAAATAACTAGCACAATCAACATGCACAAATAACTGAAATTTTGCAGTAATTTATGTTTGTAAAGATTTTTCGTCCACTTTCAACCAATGCAATGATGAAAGACGAAAGACGAGTGAATGCTTTACAGATCGAAGATGAATATCAGTTTGCATAAGACCCTTGAACCCAATGAATTCTTGATAATGTCAGACAACATTTTCATGCGACATTTCTCAATCGAACTCTATCTGACCACTTTTTGGGAGACTTCAACGATCCCGTCAGTGATCGACAATACCTCACTAATCTGTCCGTCGACTCAGTATACCCTA